ACCAGAGCAGGCAGTATATGCCGTGAGTCATCACTTCAAACATGATTGTTCAATTTTTATTTGCAAATTTGATTGTCCAGATGAAGATGTACTGGAGAAGAGAGCATTAAGGCAAGCACAGAGCCCTGCAAATCCTAGCAAGAAGTTGGAAGCAGAAAGATGATCTTCCATATGAAAAAGGGATTAACAGGACAGGAGGGGAGTGAGGAGCCAAGAGAGAAAAAGAAGCCAAGAAAGAGCAAGATTTCAAGAAGAGAAGCATAGTAAACAGGACTAGAGACAGATGGATGGACAACAAGGAAGGGAATGTTCTAAGCATGAGGGGTCAGGACAAGTGTGGAAAGGACCTAGGATGAACCTGGAGGAGATGCTCTTCAGACAGTGACTGCAAACAGCTCATTCAATGACTTCCAAAATGAAAAGGAGATGGGGCAGCAGTTCAACAAGCAACTGTGGCCAAAGACGATGTAAAAAGAAACAGACAAAAGCATGCTTGCTTAGGGAGGAAAGGAAGCGAGCAAAAGATAGCAGTGGATAAGATGGAGCTATAGTACAAGCAGAATGGCTTACAGCTTTTAATCAAGAGCTAAAAGCTGTGCCAGCAAGTGAGAAACTTATCGGTAGAAAAGATGGCAAGCAGAAGGAACTGGAGGAAAGCTACACTGCATTTCATCAACTTTCCCCTAAGAAAGCATTGAAAATTCTATAAAGAAGGGGATCAGACTGAGAAACTTGATGTGAACTGCAGGATGTCTCCTGGAAAGCACTGTGCTGCCTCGAGACATGCAGCCCCTCACCTGGTAAAGGCTCTTACGCTCCACTGATATTACAAGACTGCAATATCCATTTTGTAACAGCAGCACACGGGAAAGCCACTGTCACATGGCTATTGCTGTGAGTCCCAGACGTTGCTCTGCAAAGTACTCACTGTTCCTCCAAGCAAACTCTACAGGGCTTTTTCCTAAATGTAATAATCCACAGATGCTATGTTAGAGGCACACTGTTCCACTAAAACCCAGGTCCTGATTATGCTGCTGTGCACCAGCCCCCAAATCTCATTACTCAACGATTCAAGTCTGGCAGTCTCTGGAAATTTTATCAGCAAAAATGTAATGTCTTCTTCCAAGCCACAGCTACAAATATCAAACATTAGGCTAAGAAAAAACTTGACATGTTACTGCAGTTAAGAAGTCTACTTTCTGATACCACTACAAGTAACTCATATTTACAATTAATTACTAATACTAATGCATTTGGGGATAAAAGTTAAGACCCTAATGAACCAACACGTAATCTGTACAAATTGAAGTAAGCTGAACACAGAGAAGTATTTATTTTGCAAAAAGAGACTTAGTTTGAAGCCCTGCTGGCTGACAGAAGACATTTATGCTGTTTCCTTTTGAGTTGTATGTCTGAATTTGCCATTATTTCTCTCCCTAGCACCAGGAGGTTAATCTGATACTCAGGTGCATTTTTTTGTTCTTGGCACTTTCTCAGCATTATTAGAACTCCAAAGAACTTTTGGGAAAACTTTTTAAAACCACCAGCACCAGTTATCCACTTTGATAAGTCTGGAGAAAAACACAGTTAATATTCTTCTTTATTAAATACATTTCTTATTTTGTGAGTTTCTTTTATTTTAAACAAAACATGCAAATTCAGTCTTGAATGCAATGCAAACGTCTATAACCACGAGCAAGTCACATGAACTCCCCTGTCTTTAATATCTGCCTGTGAAAGACACTACAATCCACAGGCTGCTGAAATATACAGATAAAACAACTTTCCATAGAGAAATTTGGGGGGGTGGTCTTTCTTTTTAATTACATTTAACAGCTTTTACCTATAAGCAGATAACTGCTCTGCCACGCAGAAAAATAGAAGTCATCTTGCTAAATCTGGTTTGGCAGCAAATCTGCTCTTCTGAGTCTTCTGCAAGATGACCTGGTCCTCTGGTCCTGCTCCTGATGGTCTGCCTCCATACCAGAAATCCACGTGCTACCTGGCACCATCGCTGGCAAGCACAGCCAACAACTGGCTGCCAGCTAAACTGCTCTCCAACCCCAAGGAAAGCCTCAGCATTTGGAAACAAACAGCTCCGGGAGCAATAGAGAACAATAGAGAATCCTCACTGTCACAGTCAGTGCTAGAGCTTCGTGTATTTGCTGAGTACAAGCAAGATTTTAACCTTTTAGCACGCCTGATGAGAGTAATGAGAGCTCAAAACAAACATGCATACAGAAGTCACTCAGTACTCGATCCCATAGGCTTTTCCACATGGAATGGCACTGAGCTGGATTTGGAGACTACGAAGCAACTGCACAACTCAAGTTCAGAGGAACAAAGAGCAGTACTATGCCAGCCTGCCTTCGGCACACCTGCTGCAACGCTCCATGCGAAGATCCCGACTGAGCAGTACCACTGCTACAGGACAACAGAGAGCATGTAAGAAAAGCCTCGCTCAGATCACAGAATGTGTGATTTTAACCCAAGCGAGGAGAGGGAGGGGGAGAGACTTCCTGGATGAAGTGAACCACAGAGATATTTTAATCAGAACACAAAAGGAGGCTGAGACGAACACCAACTGACGCGGATCATATCGCATCAATAATCCATGCACACAGCCTCCGCTGAGAGCAACGGGAGGTTTGTGTGTAAATGGCTTGTACAGAATAAACGCATGCCCCCATTTAGACCCCACACAGAAGAGAGAAAACATCGAGAACAATTCCCGTGATTAACATTTCTCTTCTGCCAAGTGTTTCTAAAATAATCCTGACTTTACACAGCCCTGCTTTTATTCACAGCTTTCACAAGTGATGGCAAAATAGCTGACCCCATTTGTCAGATGAAGGAACTGAAGCATCAGATGCAAATGAAACTGAGGAGCAGGGCAGCAGGCAAAGCTGAACTGGGAACTGCATTTACCTTCTGAATCACAGTTTAGTGCCCTAGATATTTAGATGCTTATCTAGATCAAGCCTCTAATTAGGATGATTTGGCACAGTCCTCAAATAATTGTCCTGCTGCCTGCAGTACCTGTGCACACCGATAAGCTCAGCTGCACCAGTTTGTCACTTCACCATGAGAATTTCTGGGGCACTGCAGACATCCTACAAAGGTTCCAGCACCAGACAGCCCTGCTGAGAACCCCTGGCAGACCCAGAGCCTCACTGCTTGGTAGCACCAAGGCGCACTGAAATTGGCTATCAAATCAACACTTCCCACATGCTTTCCATTGTGCAAAAAGAAGGGGGAGAGGGGGAGGGAAGCCTTAATTCAAAACAACAATGCATTAGCTGGAAATGATCTAATTCTGGTGTTCCAAACTGACTGTGCTCCATAAGAAAAAGTCAGATAGGACCTCCAGTCAGGAAAAGAGTTCAATACTCACAAGAGACTAGTATCAACCATCAAATACAGATAGGAGAAAAATGAACCATCTTATTAGCCTACAAATGTTTTACAATAAAGCCAAATAGGGAGGGATATTAGAAGAAAGTTAAACATTCATTGGTGTGATACAAAATTAAAAGTTTCATTCTATATTAAATCTGACTTCTTCCTCCCCAGAAGCACTGCAGGACGGACTGCCTCCTTCCAGGCTCTGGGTGCTTTTCTTCCTGAGAAAGTCTAGCTTTGAAACACACACACCTGACGGGACTGATTCAGCAAGAGGTCCATGTTCCAGTCTGAGCCTGGCACGTCAGAACTACAACATGACACAGGGCTGGTACCAACAGCAAGCATCTCCATCTCCCTCTCCTACAAATAAACAGCTCGTAACACTGTGAAAATAACGTACGTTGAGTTCAGTGAATCTTCTGATTCCAGTGTTCAATTGCTTCCAATGATAATTTCTAAAGGAGAACTGGCTTGTTTTGTTCTTTGTTTTCCTGGCAAAAGACTTAAGCCCAACACTGATGAGGCAGGTGAGAGAGCTGAGAAATGGCCACGCTCCTTCAAGAGTTATTCTTCTGATTCATCGGAGCTTTTTTCTTTCCCAAGTTGTCAAAACAAACACCACACCCACCTGATTTCCGAGTTCTGGGCAATTACGTTTAAAATTAGCAATCACCGTGTAACTATTAATCATATGAGCCTTAGCCATTATTTTATCCATTTAGAAACAAGCGATACCCTCAAACACGGCGCGTTTAACACTTGGCAGCCATCCGCACCGAGCAGCCGTTGGGTTACAGCGAATGTAGGGCAGCCCTGCAGCCACCGAGCACATGGAGCCGGCCGGGCACACAACGGAGAGCTCCTCCAGAGGGAAGGGAGCTCTACGCACGAAGCACACTAGAAACAAGACGAAGAGAGCAGGCTGCAAACCCGCCGTCCTTCAGCCGGGACAATCTGCAGCCTCCGAAAGATTAAAGATTAAAAGCTCCCCTAGGATGCAAGCCCCGATTTGCTAAAAGTGCTGTTTGGGAACATTAGCATCGCTGCCTTTAGGAACGGTTCGCCTTGTTTAAACTGGATGAACCACTCCGGGATTATCACCGAGCCTCCATTAGGATGACACATAAACAGAAGCCCTCGCAGAGCATAATTATTCCTTTCACCGCTCGCACAAACGCCAGATACACACTTTTCTCTCCCTCCTCCCCAGCGGACGCGCAGCTGCGCCCGGGGAGCGCCGCGATATCTCCGGGCGGGATCGGAGCCAACGCGGGGTTGTCACCGCGCCGACCGACCGACGGCCGGACGGCCGGGGCCCCGCCGCCCCGAGAGCGGCCCTCCGCCCGGCCGAGCCTTCCGGCCGCGGGCACGGAGCCCCATCGTGGCCACCGGCACCGGCGCTGCCCCCGCGCCCGGGAGGAGCCGGGCAGGACGGGGCACGGAGCGCGGAAAGGAAAAAAAGAAAGGCGCGGTGCCGCGCCGCACGTCCCGGACTCGGCCGCGCTCCCCAGCCCCGGTCCGGGCGCGCCGGCCGCGAGCAAGCGCCACCTCGGCACGGCGGCCAGGTGCGGGGCCGCGGCCCCTCCGCCACTCACCGCCACCTCCGCCGCCTTCTTCGTCCATGTTGGGGCCGCGCGCAGCGCGCTCCGCGACGGCCGCGGCTCAGGGAGGCCCCGGGCTCAGCTCCTCCCGCCGCTCTCTTCCTCCTTCGCCGCCGCGCTCCCCGGCCCCGGCCCTCCCCACCCGGCGCCGCCTCACCCCGGCGGCGGCCGCCGGCTCGGCCCAGCCGCCCGCCCCTCTCATGTGACCCGCGGAGGGGCGGGGGGGAGGCAGGGCCCGGCCGGATCCGTGCCGCCGCCGTCGCGAGGTCGGCTGTCCTCGCCGTGCTCTCTCCTCCCCTCGGGGGGCGGCCGTGCCCGGGCTGCGGGGAGCCTTCCGGCCGCCGTCTGCTTTTGGGCTTCCCGGCGCGGCCTGGCGGCGCTCGGCGCCCCGCACGAGTCGGGCAGGGAGCGGGAGGAGCTCGAGCCGCCGGCAGCTAGCTGAGAGAGGGGCTGGGAGGGGGTGGGGGAGCCGGCTGGGCGAGCCGGGGAACGTCCGTAGAGCCGCCGGGACTTCGAAGGTGTCCCAAAGGGAAAAAAGAGGTAGGGGTGACAGGAGGGTGAGGAGGACAGGAGCTGGGCTGGTGCCATATTGTGAGAGGGTCGAGTTGGGTCTCTGAGTTGGGTGGTCCCGTGTGGAGCCAGGAGCTGGACTCGATGATTCTTACGGGTTCCTTCCAACTCAGAATATTCTATGAATCTACAACAGAGAAAGCCACGTCAGTAATGCAAAATACTGAAAATTCAACAGTTTGCTCAAATTAATAGTTACAATGAAGAAATTTAATTCATCACAAGTTAGTCTGATTTGAGTGTCCAAAAAGGAGCCTCGAGCTCACGGTGTTCGTGTTTTCTCTGCAGCCTTGCTTGCCCCTGGCTCTTGGGTCAGGTGCTGGAGCGCTGCTGGGTGCTTTTCCCGCAGTGGCTGTGAAGTTTTGTGTGTCAGTGGAGCTCCTCGTACACAGTGCGGGATTTTGTACAGAGTGTAATGCCGGTTTTGGTAAGGAAAAAAATTTGCCTGCTTACAGTCATGGGACTTGAAATACTGGTGGGATTTCTTAAGTCCTTGCTAAGATGGGCAGTATGACACCACTGCCGCCAAAGCAGGTAAGCAGGAGTGTGCTGGCACCAACCACACTTCCTTCCTTCCCAGGAACCACCCCACATTATTTTTTAAAACCTTTAGTGGTAAAATTTTATTCAGAAAGGAAACGGGGGGAGGAAGGGGTCAGCCAACAGGAAGGTATCAGGGTTTTCATTTTCCTGTTACGGGCTGGCATGGCACAGTGTGTGTAGTGGGGGCTGTCAGCAGCGCTCACCTCCTGACACCGCTGCTCACTGCTGTGCTCTGAATGCAGAGCTTTGGTTCTGACAGCTGCTGTGGTGATCAGGTGTCCCTCAGCAAGAAATCATAAACATCACAACCTCTAAAATGCTCCCACACTCTCCTCTAGGTTTATCACCGTATGAAAAGGAGGTGATTACATAAAACAGCACAGCCTTGGTAAGAGATGTATTTTCCAACTACGTAAAGTGCAATTAAGGATGACTTCAAAATCAGTTTGAATGCAGATGAGTTGACGGTGGGCTCTGAATATTTTTGCCCACTGAGCAAACTCAGTGATTTTACAGTAATTTACGTTAGAGGGGAATCTGGTTGGTGAGGAAAATCCTGGTGTTATGTTTCATCGCAGATGTTTTCATTAAATCTGTGTTTTTTTATGCATTTGTGTAAGATATACTCCATTCTTTTCCTGCTTTCATTTAGCAGTGTCATTTTTAATCTTCCAATATTTAAATATAACTTTTGATACAAGAAAAAATCTACTGCAAAGTAAAAGCCCAATCATTACTAGCAGAAAAGAGTGAGCTGTGGAGAACAGTCTCTCTTCCACCAGTTCAGTGGCAGAATTCCTGCTGGCTTCAGTGGAAACAAGACTGGGTTTTAAAATAAAATAAATGGATGAATGACAAAGATAAAAACAATGTGTGATCCAAGCAAGGAAAAGAGACTGTCCTAATTATAAGTGGTCGGTTGGGATATTTTATATAAATGTCATGCTGAAATCAGACAACCTTGTGATGAATAAAATTTTGCATTATAACTTAATTATTAATTTGAGCAAACAGTTGAATTTTCAATATTTTGCTTTACTGATGTAGCTTTCTCTGTTGTGGGTTTGAAATATATCTTGAGGAAAGTCTGTTTTCAGTCCCATGATAGTAGGATGACTTAACCTTACAAAATACAGAAGAGCACTAAAATTGTAGTGCCTTCTTCATGGCTGTGTGTCTCTGCAGTGGTGGCACACAGTCCTCAAAACTTCATTTTTTCCTGCATATTGTGTATTCTGCAAAGACACTTATTTTTGCATGAGCCTGATCCTACACGTGTTCTAGGTGTAAAACTTAGTTCTGCGTGCAGGGTTCTTACCAAGCAAAGCTGTTTAATCCTTAGATGAGATATGCGATACAAATTTTAGAGATCTAAATTTTCATTAACCATCTCCTTTTCCCATGTACTGCTTAAATCTGCCATGTGTGGCTGCAGAGCTAACCAGGGCAGGAAGAGATTTTGTGAAAAAGTCAACTAAAGAATGACAGCCACGGTCCTGCACTGTAACCATGGCAGTTCTACCATGGGAGAACTATTCTTTAGTTCATGGAATTGCATAATAACAATACCACTGTAATTAATACTGGGCAGTTTCCTGCCAACAGAGGGACAGGTGCCAGATAGCAAAAAAGATTATAATCTCAACAAAATTTAGGGTATGCTCTAATAAACTATTTCTTACGTGAATAATTCCCTCACATCTACTTTGTTTTCTGGAACTTTGATTGCTTTTCCGTTTTGAAACACATGAATTTTATGCATCTCTCTGTGTTAGACTTTCAATCAGAAGGTTTTTGGAAGATGATTTGATCTTTTTTTTCTTTCTTGCCGTTCTTTTTGTAGTCATAGCTGGTTTTACAGGAGGTGTTTTGCCAGGTCTGTGTCACAAGTCTCGCCTTTTGTGCTGGAAGAAGTTCATAGTCTGTCATTTCTGCAAATAAGAGTCTCATAGTTGGTCTGTTTAAATTATCTTTAGGGGGAAATTGGGCGTTCTTCAGAACCGACTGCTGGCAGGGTTGATTCCCTTATGATAAGTGTGGTTATATGCCAGATTTTTAGGTGATGTGCTTGGTCTTTATTTTTCTCTTTGAGACAGCTTAGTGTCTGTTTTGATTAAGTTTGCATAAGAGGTAATTTACCATGTCGTGTTTCGTTTTAAAGGGTCAGGAGCACATCTGTTACGACATTTGTCGTAACACAGAAGATGGGTGAAGACAACTGAGTGCCTTACATCATGTTTTAGTGGTCTGAAGAGCTCATTAAATCTTGAGTCATTTCTATGGATTGCAATTTAAACCAGCTTGCAAGCCATAGTGAATGAAAATCACTTCCCACCCAACCCCCTTTATATATATACTTCTAATAATCGAAGAATGTAGGAGTCAAAAAGCCCTGTTGGTTCTCACATCCTTTCCTCAGCAAGAGAGAACTGCCTTTTATTCTGGATTGCTTTTTATCAGTCAATGGAAATACTGAAAGAGATCCTTATTATTAATCTGGAATTTACTTGTAGAGAGAAATAAGGTTAATCTTACCGTGATAAGTTTCCCGCTGTAAATGTTTCAGTGGTGTAACATTCCATTTTGTGATGACAGATGTTGCAAACTTTTCATTTCTAGCCAAAACCAATGGCTATGGTGGTGTCCTTTACATGGGCAGCAGTAGGAAGCTAAATACAAGTAAAATTGTATTATGAGGCTTAAACTTAATCACTCTGATTTTTTTATTTTTTATTTTTTTTCAGAACAGAAAGAAATAAAGTGACTGCCACTGTGGCATCAGGCTGGATGTCAGTATCCCACACAGGCCTGGGATTTTGAAAGCCCCAATTAATCTTGCTTTGGGAGCTGCAGCCCAACTGTAAGCCGTACGTGAGACGCACTGTAGCTGTATACATACGGCAGCAGCTGAGGGATTTATTGTGGTGATGTTGGTAACAAAGGAGGCCCACACGGCTCCTTCCTCCATGGTGTATCAGGGCTGCCATCCCTCAGTCTGTATGGCAGCCAGAGCGACAGGCTGGGCTCGCTGTGTTCGCTGACGGCACGCGGTGCCATGGGGGTCGGATGGGTGCTCTTGATTCACCACTGAGCTGATGTCTGAAACGCAGTTGTGTATCTCCACATGAGCTGGCTCAGATCTGTCTGCTGGCAAGTCAGCCGTGCGCAGATCTGGATTTAATAAACGTGTGACCATAAATTCAGCTAGGAGTAGGAACTGTCAGCTAATGGTTGTGACTTTCAGTGTCCTCTCTGCTGTAAAGCCGTACTGTGAATGAGAGCGCTCTCTAAAACAATTGTTCAGTGGCACAATTACACTTTGGTAGACTGTGATGCACAGATGGTGCAGGAAGAAGAGAGGCAGAGTGGTGGTAACTACTTTGTCAGTGGGGACATCCCTGTGTATTCCTCACTTTATTCTGAACCGGATTTTCTCCATCTTCTTTTTGATCCCTCAAACCCAGCCCTTCTGAAACTGTCTGGAGGCCAACTTGTCAATATGTGATCTGTACAACGGTGGTACATTGATCCAGAACAAACACAAGCATATAATTGCATTCTGGTCAAGATCAGCCAGTGCTGAGTGACAGCGTTTACACCAGGCTTTATCCTGGCTTTACAGTGGCAGCAGAAAGATAAATGATACCAACTCGGATGTAAAATCATCAGGGTAAAACCACTCTTTACTCTTCGCTTTGTTTTGTTTCTAAAAAAGTGGTTGGGTTGAATTTCTAAGAATTTTGTGCCTCGTGGCTATCCAAAAATGGCATTTACTGTATCATGAAATTGCAGTTGCATGTTGGTGAGGGTATGCCTTCACCTCCTCTGGTATGTTATTTTTAAGTACAGAGCTGCTGTTGAGTCTAGATGCAGAGGGGTAGTGATTCCTTGCTAAAAGGCTATGTGTAATATTTTAAATTTTTACTGTCTCTAAATAGAAGAAAATGTTAAGCAAGGGAAAGTCAAGCA